AATAAGTTACCTGAACCTGTTCATTAAGACAAGTGTGTCCTGCAAACGTAACTACCCACTTGTACATATTGCACCTGTTCTCCATTCTGTTTGTGTGGGTGCTTTCTTTGAGGTTTTTTGCTTTTCCATTTAAAGATGAAAATATGTCAAATATTGTTATCAAATATCAACGACGCAAATATAATCTAGCAATAGCACAATTGCACAAATTCTCCATCATTATGAGTCCATCTCATGGAATTGATCATTTTCTAAATTATAACCTCAATGTCCGGCCACTGTGTCAAAAAACTGCCCCACACTATTATTGAGAGTGACTGATTGTAAAAGACAGTGATTTTGAGCAAAATGAAAATTACTACTTGATGCTAACCTGCTGTGTGCTGTGTAGAGGACCGTCTGTGTGGCTCAGTTCTTCATCCTCCACTATTTCTGCCACTCTCTGTGGAAGGACACGAGGGATAGATTTTTGTTCACATCTTTCAGTGTTACATTTTTTCCCTTGTGCAATATTTTCTTTCTTTTAACTGCAGCACACAGATATGAATGTTAACCTGGTCAACAGGAAGCTCTGTAGCTGTATTCTCATCCTCCTGCACCTCCTCAGCTCCTCGCACCTCCTCTCTCCTCTTCCGTGCTGCTCTTTTAAAGATGCTGGGCTGGACTGTGATAGACAGACATCGATATGACTCATTTTATACTTATTTTCAATATGGAAACTATATATTTAGTTAAGATGGGGCCATAACTTGGCGGTAGTCTTGTCTGACCTCTGTTCTTGCGGATCTTCACCGGCCTGGCAAAGAATGCAGACATCTCATCTGCTCCCTGTCTCCTGCTCCTCTGCTCTGTAGCTTGTGGAGGTGCAGCTTCATCTCCTGTTGACTTCACCCTCCGACCATCTGACTGAGTATTACACATAAAAAAAAGGCCTCCTCACTTGTGTATTCATATACACCAAACCAATTAACAGTCCCGATATAGATCCTCTGGTGTCAATGCAATACACAGAAGGATTTAATTGTTTTTACTTCAGGGGAGTCAAGGAGAGCAGAGTCGCTGTACTGGTCTGCTGGACCACTTCCTGCTTTCCTGTTCTGAAAGAAAAATATAATATGCATACAAACATATTGCATAGACTGTATTTTAAGAAATAATCTTTATTAATGGGCAGTTTTCAAAATCCACACACACACACACACACACACACACACACACACACACACACACACACACACACACACACACACACACACACACACACACACACACTGGCACTG